GCAGGAAGAGACTGGACAAAAATCGTACACCTATGGATGAGGACAGTGGGAGGGGTAAGGGCAGCGGGTGGGGTGGGAACTGGGTGGAGGAGAGCTATGGGGGGGAAAAAGGGGAACAACTGTAATAATCTGAACAATAAAGATTTAATTTTAAAAAAATACTAGAAAGGCAAATGACTGGGGAAAAATAGCCAATAAACACATATACAAAATACTAAACTTCCTCCAAATTAAAAAAAAAAAATTTAAAACAAAATACTAACTGAACTTGACAAAAATGAAATAATATACAATGTTGGTTAGAATGTGGGGAAACAGGTCTTTGCATACCCTATTTATGGTAACGTTAATTAGAGTCATTTTGCAAAGTATGCAAAAATTTTATATTCACATACCATATGAAAGAACAAATTGCAATTTCAAATTTATCCTACAGATATAGTGTTACAAATACAAAGGGATGTGTACAAGGATGTTTACTCCAGCACTGTTTGTCAAAACAAAAAAATATAAATAACCTAAATGCCCTTCAATGGACCTGGTTAAATATACTTGATAACACTGCACTAGAAATGCTATGCAGCCACTGAAAAGAATGAAGTATGTCTATGTACACTGTTAAGTGAAAAAAAAGAAAGTTGCAGAGCATACTCCTATTTTTTAAAAGTATATTTATGTATATTATATACCTGAACTTTATATAGCTGCATATAAGTGTTGTGGTGTGTAAGAATGAAAGAAAGAATAAAGGAAGGAGAGCTACCAATCAGGTAACAATATTTATATCAGGGGAAAATTTTAGAAAAATAGATTAACATGCTTCCTATCTGTTCAGTATTTTTTAAAAGAACAAATATTACATTAAAATAACCTAAAATTAATTTTTAAAATTAATTTTCTTAAAAAGCAAGCCTCTCAGTTCAGTTCAACAGGTAATTACTAAGGACCACACAAATTTTTAAATGCCTTTCCATATTCACATATTCACATAAGGCACTGTAAGAAGAAAAATGAAATACAGTACTCTCAACTTTAAGGAGTTCATGTGGTGGCAGAAATATAAACAAATACCTTAATAAAATGCACAAACTTTTTAACTGCAATAAGTACACACAGAGCACAATTAATTCAACCATGAGGGATCAAGAACAAGTACAAAAAGATGAAAATTAAGCTGTGCTGAGTCTTACTGTTATGCAGCCTCCCTGTAGAACTGAAACACATCTAGAAATGACCTATGCCTCAATTTAAAGATACGGTTTTTCATTACCGTATCTCCCATACCTGTACTCCTTTATAACTTTACAAAAGTGTTCAGCAGCAATGATACACCTAATAGGTCAAAGTCAGTCCATAGGGATTACATTTACTATCCTAGTTATAATACTCTAATTTGGATTTGCACCAGCTTAACTTCAATAACATGAAAATTCTGCTCCTTTACATTTCTATCCCACTCCTTTATGTCACAAAATTATACCTTTATACAATTTTATCTTTCTGTGTTCAGAAACTGAATTGTTACCTGATTGGTAGCTCTCCTTCCTTTATTCTTTATTTTCTTTTTTAAAAGCATTAGATTCTCAAATTATGTAGAAAACAAAATGTGGAGTACAAACCAGTTGTAATACTAGCTTTGGGATGCATAATTGCTTTTTAAAAAATGCATTAGTCTCTTAAATTATGTAGAAAAAAAGTATTACAATAATATTAGCTTTTATAATTGCCTATGTATTTACCTTTATTGAGATCAATTTCTTCATATGATTCCAAGTCACTGTCTAGAGTTTTATCATTTCAATCTGCAAGACTCCCTTTAGCATTTCTTTCAATTCAAGTCCAGCAATAACGAATAACCACAGCTTTTGTTTATCTGGGGATGTCTTAATTTCCCCCTCATTTCAAAAGAGTTTTGCCAGATAGAGAATTCTTGGTTGGCAGTTTTTCTTTTAGAACTTGAGTACATCAGCCCAAGTCTTCTGGTCCCCAAAGTTTCTAAGAAGAAATCTGCTAACAATCTTACCAGAGCTCTGTTACATATAATGAGTCACTTCTTTCTTTGTCTTTGCCTTTTAACAGTTTAATTATAATGTCTTGGTGTAAGTCTGTTTGACTTCAACCAACTTGAAAGTTTTTGCTGAGCTTCCTAGATGTTTATACTCATGTACAGTGTATTCCAACAAATTTTTGAAGTTTTTAGCCATTAATTCTTCAAATGTTCTCTCTGACCCTTTCTTTCTCTCTCCTCTTTCCAGGACTCCCATAATGCATATGTTGGTCTACTAGATGACGTTCTACAGGTTCCTTACAGTCTGTGCACTTTTCTTCCATCTTTTTTCTTTCTGTTCCTCAGATTAAATAATTTCCACTGTCATAGCTTCAATTCACCAATTCTTTCCACCTGCTCAAATCCACCTTTGAATCCCTCTAATAAATTTTTTATTTCAGTTATTGTATTTTTCAGCTCTAGAATTTTTTTTGTTTCTTTTTAAATTTTCCCTTTATTAATATAACCATTTTATTTATACACTGCTTTCCTAACTTTCTCCATGTCTTCCTTTAGTTCTCTGAGCATCTTTAAGACAGTTGTTTTAAAGTTTTTGTCTAGTAGATTACCATCAGGTCTTTTTCAGGGACAGTTTTTCTTTATTTTATTTTCTTTGAATAAACCATACTGTCCTGTCTGTTTACCTTGTTAGTCTTTTGTACGTTTTTAGCCACTAATTCTTCAAATGTTCTCTCAAATGTTCTTTCAAATGTTGTTGAAAACTAGTCATTTGAATCTAATAATGGGGTAACTATGGAAAGAAAATTCTCCTCCTTCCCCAGTGCTTGTTGTTTTGAATTTTTGTTTGTTTTTAAATTGTCATTTGCTATCTCTGAGCTGAGGATCAGCCTGAGGTATAAACTTAAAATCTTCTCAGGTCTTTCCTAAGCTTGCATCCTCCTCTACATATGCATGGTGACCTTCTAATTCCCCTTGTATATGTGGTTGTTTTGAAAGTCCTAGTTTGTAATATCTGGCTCCCCAAAACGAAAAGAAAGAGATGAAGCAAGAAATAAAAGGGTATGGCCCTTTAAATCCCTTAGAGTTACTTCAACCAGAAGGGATGGGACTTGTTATAATGGGGGTGAGGTGAGGGTGAGGGGACAAAACAATAATAGCTGCCTACCTCTACCTCTTTGTCTATCCTTGAAGATCAGAAGTAGCTATCAATGAACAGAGCACAGATCCCTAGTATTCGGAAGTCAGGGACCTTTTTGCCCAGCATGCAAGCTGCTCCTGAAATGCAGCATGGCTAGTTGCCTTGGGACTGAGAGATGGAGAATGAACAGCTGCTACTACAAAGCTAAGAGCTGAAGTTACCTTGGAAGTTGCAAACCTTCAATAGACTCCAGAGATCCAAAACAGTTACATCAAACAGGTTCTGCCACTGTAACTGTATTAGTGGGGAGATAGATTCCTGGTGCTTCCTACTCTGCCATCTTCCCAGAATCCTCTCCATCTGCCTTTATTTTCTGAAATATGCTGTTACTTTGCCCTATCTTAATCAAGTGACCAAATCTCTGACAACTCTTTAGATTTTTGCCTTCCCAAGTTTAGATCCTAAATTTAGGAAAAAATAAAAATTTGAGGTTATCTCTCACTATATATAAATTAGCTCAGTGTTGTTATAAGAGCTGCATGGGAAGACTTGGTTAACCTAACAATTACTAGCTGACAAGTAGAACAAGGACTCAAAACCAAATCTTCTTACTCCCAAGTTCTATGTTCTGTATACTAGGTTTAATTGTGGAAGAGGAGATAAGTAAAGCTTGAGAATTATGACATTACCTTACTTAGTAATTAAAATATAAGTCAAGATCTCACCTTACCATATTTTAAAGTTGCTACTAAGAACCTAAAAGTCCCCACATGTACAGTATTATCAATCAACAGCTTAGTTGTGCCAATTTGGTGTCTACCACAGACACAGCTTTCCTAAGTACCCTGATATGATATTAATAAGAACTGCGATCTCTGCTCTAGAGTAAATTACAACCTAGTTGAAGAAATAATTCTGAGGTGAAGTTATTCAGAGTACATTAAGAAGGGTGCATGATTTAGGAAAAATAAGTGGAGACTTGGATGAGTACAATGGAGCACCATATAGCAGTTAGAAGCAACATTTGCACTCATCACAAAACAGATGAGTCAGAAAGATAGCACTTAGGGTAAAAAGTAAAACTAAATGAATTCTATAATAGGTATGCATTTAAAATACATGTATACAAAACAATGATAGCTGTTTTTGCAAAAACACATAAAATATTCATTAAAAACATCAGAATAGCTGCCTGTGGAGAGAAGGGGAATGGAAATGGAGTTATGAAGATAAAAGAGTAAAAATAAACAAGAAGCACAGGCTTTGTTAGAATGCAACATGATGCAGCTATTAAAATTAATATATTTGATCTATATAGACTAACAAGATAATGTTTCAGTGATAATGTCAGGATAGAGCATGGTATGCATAATATCCTATTTCTGAATGTGTGTCTCAATTTTTACATGTGTATGTGCAAGTATGAAAAACAAAGCCTGGAATACACCAAACTAAATCTCAGGGACGGAGCAGTGGAAAAGAGGGCTTTCCATTTCTAAACTCTTAAATAATTTTGCAATTTACTTTTAAGTTTGTAAAAAGAAAGTTCTATAAAATTTGGAGTTGCAAAATGGCTATCATTGTTTGGCGTTAGACTGAAGTACATTTAAACACTATGTGATTTTGGGAAAGCTATTTAAACCTCTCAGATTTCTTAGCTACTAAGCAGAAAATAACTACATTAAGTCATGGGGGGTTGTAAGAATTAAAAAAAAAAACAACCAAAAAAAAAAAAAAGCCACTCCTAGCATAGTACTTCTTCTACTCCCCTAGGTAAAAGCATACAATTAAAATTAAGAATGGGTGATAATGAGAAACACAATTTAGAGAAAGAAAAGGTCATGGAAAATAAGACTTAAGCTGAGCTTTAAAAAAACATATAGAATATTAATAAGAGAGAGTTGGAGGTATTATCAAAATAAAGAAATAATCAGAATAAGCACATAGGAGGAAGAATGAGATGTATAAACATGTGTCCCAGTGCATGCTCAATAAATATGTTAAATATATGAAAAGAATCCACCATTCCTCATGGGTGAGGTCCTTTCATCATGTGCGCTGGGAGGTGGTCAGCTGAGGAAATGCAGTTACTGTATATACAACTAGGAAATGGACACTGACATATTCCTAGAAGATAGGTTTTGATCTGTAACAGTGGATTGTATGTTTTTGTTGGGCCTCTTTCTCTTCCACTGTATTGAAAATCTGTCTGGAGCTATGTGAAGACCAAAAGGTGTCAGAGCAGGCCTATTCTGGAAAATGGGCACAATTGGGAGAATATCAAGGAAACAGATGTGCTTTGGAGATTATAATGTCCACGGATAGCTCCATGGTAGCACTCACTTTGCTCCATGCTCTATCTCTGGTGCCTAGCTTGGTGTGGAAGGCACTTCAGTTTTTGTTGGATGAACAGATTTGACCTTCATATCTATCATCTATCTATCTATCTATCTATCTATCTACCTACCTACCTACTTATTTGTCTATTTATTTAATTTGTGGGCTTTCTTCTCGGGCGTAAACTCCCCAGCCTTTTTTGACACTTTAATTTCTCATGTTCCTTTTTTTCTGGCAACAAAAGTGAACTTCTCAAATTGGGCCTCTTTCAGACTAGGATGGTGCCTAGCTGTCTTAACTTCCCTTCGCTTCAACATCACTCTGGGGAGCAGGGCAGAGAAACATATCCTATCACAATATGGGGTACACAGCTCTAAAAGTCTGAAAGAATAACATTAAAAGCCATTTTGAGACCCGGGAATAGTAAAAAGCACGTGAATTCAGAAAAACTATTTTATACTGCAATAATTTCTTTTTGAAGCCTATTTATCGAGGCACATGCCAACAGCATAGTATTGTACGAGTGATGTGAATTAAAGCTTACACAAATGTAAAATAAATAACTAAATAAACTAGATTTTAAAAAGGTGAACATTGAGGAATAACAGAAAAAAATAAGATTGCTTAGGTAGGATAGGGTCATATTTTAGAGATCCTTGAAATCAAAACAGAGGTTAGATTTCATGCAGTTGCCAATACCAGGTTTCTAGAGCTGCAATTACCTAGAAAAGCTATATTTTAGGAAGATATTGTCTGGCAACAGTAAGCCAGATTGACAGAGTATAAAATTAACCAGTTATAATGAATAATTGTTATATACATAAATATAGGTATTACATATATATGTGTATATACATATACAGACAGACACACACACATATATACACACACACACAGACACAGTATATTATACATGGAACGATATTACAGGCAGGTAATGAGATAGAGAACTGAACTAAGATGGGAGCTATTAGTACAGGAATGTGACTTATATATTAGAATATGTTACTGAACTGCCCTAGTAATTACAATTAGCATTTGTAGTTATAAATAAATAAATACATATATAAATAACTTTGAATTACTTCTAAATAACATTATGGAGGAAGAGTCAATCTCCTACATGCTAACTCACCTGATCCTCTTGAAACAAAATGCCTTTCTGAGCATTTATTCGTTTAAAAAGATCCCCTCCTTCACAGTAATCCATCACTATGTAGAGAGAGCCATTTTCTACAAAATATAAACATTAGATTCCATTTTTTAACATGTGTATCAAAAGCATAAAGAAAGGTACCAAAAGGTTTACTGAAAAGCAGCAATTAATTGTGTTCTGTTAAACCAGAAACAGAATAACACTCAAAAGAATTAGAATGCAAAGTCAAGATATACTGATAACACAGACATTCAATAACTTGGGTTAATAACTCCATCATTAATATTTTTTCTACCAAGAATACACAATCTTATTGGATAGCAGTATCCACATTGACCCAAACATCTCTAGAATACAGACAATATGTAGACAGATATACAAATAATTCCTTGACTTATGATGGTGCTACATCCCAATAAACCCATCTTAAGTTGAAATGTATATTGTAATACTTATTATTAATAATACTTTCATGACTCTTTCTGTGGGTAGACACTTCTTAATCCTTCTCTCCACCCTTATTCTTATAAAAGAATAAAACTATGCTTATTCTTCCCACATAAGAAAGGCCAATAGTGCTTCTAACATTTACTAAACTACTGCTTACTAGTGAAACTATTGCAACTCAAAGAACATTTCTAAGTTTTCACTTCTCTCTGTGCTTATGGCCTTATTTCCAGCAGTACTTATTTCTTGCACCTTGTGGTGGTATTATTACTTGTAGTGCTGATATCCCCTTCTGATATAGTACTGCTTCTAATGTGCCATGGATTGGGAACCTATATAACTAATTAAGAATCTGTTATAACACTTTATGATTGATAAGAAAAGATTATCCAAATAGACATGTGAGAAATCACAATGCAAAAAAAACCTATAATCCACTACTTATAAAAATATGTATAGGATATTAACATTTATGTAGCATAAAAACAAAAAGCAAAAAATTATGTACAGTATGCTATCATTTTATGTATGCTTACTAATGCATAGAGCACTTTTGGAAAAAAAACACAAGACAGTGGTGAACAGTGGTTAACTCCAGGAAAGGAAAATAGGTACCTGGAAGGTAGGAATAGAAGGCAAACTTTTTACAGTTATATAACATCCAAATTTTGTACCATGTGCATGTATCAAAAATAAATAAATAAAACCACCAAAATATTTTTTTTTAAAAAAAGGTAAATGTGTATGTGGGTGTGAAAGAGACAGAAACAGAGATAGGGAAACAGAAGTTAAATAAGAACTGAGAAAGGGATGGAGAAGGAATCCTGAAATAAAATGCTGGAGCTTTAGTACAAACATTCTGTAACGTTTTCTGCTGCTTAAACATTGTTTATTTGGGGGATAAATACTACTTAAAATATAAGGTTAACTAAAAAGTCTTTTCTCCATGAGGGAAGTACTAATCTATTTTGTATCCCTTCAATCATTCACACATCTCAGTGCCAGGCACTTTGCACAGATGCTAGGGATACAGAAATATAAGACACTACCCTTATGTTTAAGTAACGGAGTAGAGAAAATAAAAATGTATAACACATATACTCAAATATACAATGATACAATACAAACTCCCACTTTTTCAATAAGATCAAATTTTTTAAATGTATAAATTTTAGAAATACAGATAAAATAATAAAGTGTCTAATATAATATTTAATATTAAATCTAATTATACATTTAAATACCCGAAAATATTTTCTCTCCACTCTCATATTATATGAAACAACTTTTTTTATTTATTGATTTTTTGAGAGAGAAAAGGAGACACATACAGAAAGAGAGAAAAACATTAATCGGTTGCCTATTGTATATGCCCCAACTGGGGATGAACCTGCAACTCAGGTATGTGCCCTGACCAGGAATCGAACTTGCAACCTTTTTGGTATATGGGATGACGCTCAACCAACTGAGAAAGGGATGGAGAAGGAATCCTGAAATAAAATGCTGCTAATGTGCCATGGATTGGGAACCACCTGGCCTGGCTATATGAAACAATGTTATCCAAACTTTTCACATCTATTTTCCAATATCAATGTTGATCTGGGAGCAAGGATACTTTAGCTCTAATTCAGACTCTGAAACTGGTATGTGATGTGACCCAAAACAGTCATTTAAACTAACATCTACTTTCAACCTCTATTCCTGTTTTATAATTTATAGGGATTTATGATAATAAGGGGAATGACTTCAACAGGATTTCAATAAACCACTTTAACCTGCCTTTAAAGAAGCTTATCCTTATTTTAGTTCCTGCATTAACAAATATAATGGAACATATTTCCAAATCAGCAATACAGCTATGACATTTTAAGAACTTGAGAACACTTTTTCAACATACCTCAGTATCATAAGAATGAGGTCTACAAGAGAATACCAATGAATAGAATACTTTCTAAAGATCAGAACATTTTCTTAGTAGCAGTACTGGTAGAGATTCAAAGGAGTTTAGCTTAACCAAAAGATGTAAACTACTGTTCTAGCTTTGTCCAAATTCTTGCACTTACTAACATTGCTTCTTTTTAAGAAATTATAGTAACATTGAGCCAGTATTAAACTATACAGGGATAGTGTGGTGCATTATCCTAGAATCAAGCTGATATTCATATGCATACATATTGAAGCAAAAATGATATACTTTCCTTCCTATGAACACATTCACAAAAAGATTCCTTATAAGGAAAGTATCTAAATGTCATTATATGGCTTAGGAGTTTTTGGAACTCTCTTGAAAACTGTATCTGACCTTCAAATGATTCTCTATACTGGACAATATTTGGATGCTTCATGTTTGCCAACACTGCAACTTCTCTCCTTGATTCTTCTCTTTCTTTATTGGACATCTTAAATGGGAGGAAAAGAGAAAATACTATATTAAACATTACTATACAATTTAAAAGTCCATAAATAAGAAAGTAGTTAAAAAATAATGTTAACAAAGAAGCATGGTCCAAATAACAAAATATTGCCAGAAGCTAAAAAGAATGAGTTGAATCGACAAGTAAAAACATTTTAAGATGTTCAAACTAGATTTAGTTATAGAACAGTAGACATATAAACACAAGCACATATCATAAAAAAATATGAAAGGATATATAGACTATTCTGAAATTAGTGGCTCTCCCTGGGATTATGGCAGTCTTCCACTTTAGGTTATACATTGCTTTTTTTTTTTTTAATCTCTAACAATGAACCCTTTTGTAACCAGATATTACTTGAATAACCAATAGAAAAATATACTTACTCTTGAGATGTTAATTTCCTTGATAACATATTGTTTGCCATCTTCTGTAGATTTAACAAGAATGGCTTTTCCAAATGAACCTTCTCCAATCTTCTGTAGTCTAGCATACTTCTCCATAGTTATTTTTCTAAGGCATCTTAACTGATAGGCTAGACAGAAACAAAAATAACTGTTAACAGAGATAAGCACATCATCTATAATAACTGTTTAATTTAAATTATACTTCCTTAGTGATGTGTGTACTTAAAAGGATATTTTAAATATTTACTGAAAGTTAAATAAACTTCATTTTATTCATGCAACCTAGTGATAGCTAAAAAGAGAAAAACAGTGACATTTCAATTTTATTATTTTTATTATTTTTTTATAAATATATTTTTATTGATTTCAGAGAAGGGAGAGGGAGAAATAGAAACCTCAATGATAAAAGAGAATCATTGATCGGCTGCCTCCTGCACGCACCCTACTGAGGATTGAGCCCACAACCCGGGCATATGCCCTTATCAGGAATCGAACCAGACTTCCTGGTTCATAGGTCAACACTCAACCACTGAGACACATCAGCCGGCCGACATTTCAATTTTATAAGAAGGCTTTGTAAAGTCAAATACTGTATATACTTAACATATATGGAGAGAGAAACAAACTTTTTCTTATATGAATTAATTACTAGCACTACTTTATTATCTCCAATAAGACTGTTTCCCAAAGTTATTTAATTAATCCCCTATTATACATTTAAATTATTTACAGTGTTTGCTAGTCTAAAAAAAGACTTCAGATAAAATTTCCACGCATACATTTTTATGTACTTATTACTTATAAAAATTCCTTAGGATACGCCCTGACTGGTTTGGCTCAGTGGATAGAGCGTTGGTCTGCGGACTGAAGGGTCCCGGGTTCGATTCTGGTCAAGGGCATGTGCCTTGGTTGCGGGCACATCCCCAGTGGGGGGTGTGCAGGAGGCGGCTGATTGATGTTTCTCTCTCATCAATGTTTCTAACTCTATATCCCTGTCACTTCCTCTTTGTAAAAAATCAATAAAATATATTAAACAGAAAAAAAAAATTCCTTAGGATAAATTCTTAGTTCGAAGAATGTGAACATGTTAAAACTTTCAAACATATTGCTTAACTGTCTTACAGAAATGACTAATAATGTATATTCTAACCAGCAGTGTATAAAAGTGCTTGGCCCGACCAGCGTGCCTCAGTGGTTGAGCATCAACCTATGAATCAGGAGGTCATGGTTCGATTCCCGGGCAGGGCACATGCCTGGGTTGTGGCCTCGATCCCCAGTGTGGATAGAGCAGCTGATCAATGATTCTCTCTCATCACTGATGTTTCTGTCCCTCCCTCTCCCTTCCCCTCTGAAATGAATTTTTTTAAAAATTAAAAGTGCTTGCTCCTAGGTACTCTTTTAACACTGGTATTATTTATTAAAATCTTTGAGAGGCAATTAAGGGTAGTAAAGAGCACTGAAACCCTGGAATCAGAGAACCCAGGTTTAAATCCTAGCTTTATCACTTATTACTTATGTGACCTTGGGCAAGCTACTCATCTTCATGTGCCTCAGTTTTTTCATCTGTAAACTGTGGATAAAAGCAGTCTGTACTTACAGACTTGTTGGAGGATTAATTTCAGTCATGTACTAAGAACAGTGCTGGCACATAGGGAGCACTGTCTCACTTTCAGTTCTTGTTATTCATTACATTTGAAGGGAAAAATGGTGCCTTTTCTTTTGCATAACAGTGAATTTGAAAAGTTCACCCATGTTTATTGAACTTTTATATTTCTGATCTTTGAAACACTTCATCCAAGTTCTTTGTCCATTTTTTTCTGGAACAGTCTTTTTAAAAGTAGGAGGGAGGGCCAAGGTGGCGACATAGGTTAAACACGATACTCGCATCCTCCCACAACCACATCAAAATTACAACTAAACCACAGAACAACTATCAACTAGAGAATTAAAGAAGTCACATTGAGACTAGTAGGAGGTGTGGAGGCACAAAACGGGCTGTTCCAACACCCACGCGTGGCTTTTTTTAATAGGGTGGGATATCTTGGCCACAGAGGCCTCCTGTGAGGAACAAGGGGTCCCAGCCCCACACCAGATCCCTCAGCCCCGGGTTCCAGTGCCTGGAAAAGAAGTCCCCATAACTTCAAACCAGCAGAGATTGTGGCTTAGTGACAATACTCCCTCTGAGTGACTTACTCCCTCTGCGTTCCAGCGCTGGGGCAGCAGAAAGGATTCAGGGACATATGGGGAGGCACATAATTCAATTCTGAATGATAGCTTTGCTGGATAAAGTATTCTTGGTTGTAGGTTCTTGGTATTCAGCACTTTGAATATTTCTTGCCATTCCCTTCTGGCCTGCAAAGTTTCTGTTGAGAAATCAGCTGACAGTCGTATGGGTATTCCCTTGTAGGTAATTGAGTCTCTTTCTCTTGCTGCTTTTAAGATTCTCTCTTTGTCTTTTGCTCTTGGCATTTTAATTATGATGTGTCTTGGTGTGGTCCTCTTTGGATTCCTTTTGTTTGGGGTTCTCTGCGCTTCTTGGACCTGTAAGTCCATTTCTTTCACCAGGTGGGGGAAGTTTTCTGCCATTATTTCTTCAAATAGGTTTTCAATATCTTGCTGTCTCTCATCTTCTGGCACCCCTATTATTCTGATGTTGGTACGCTTGAAGCTGTCCCAGAGGCTCCTTACACTATCTTCGTATTTTCGGATTCTTTTTTCATTTTGCTTTTCCGGTTGGGTGTTTTTTGCTTCTTCGCATTTCAAATCTTTGACTTGATTCTTGCGCTCCTCTGGTCTGCTATTGGGTGTCTGTATAATATTCTTTATTTCAGTCCGTGTATGCTTAATTTCTAGTTGGTTCTTTATCATAGCATCGAGGGTCTCATTAGTTTTCGTGACTCTCTCCTCAAGTTTATTGACAGCTTCTAGCACATTTTTGCAAGCCCTCAAAATTGCGATTTTTAGCTCTATATCCTCCATTTCTGTCATGTTTTTTTGTCTCCGCATTTTTTATGCTTTCTTGGTGCACCCCCTAGTGGTCTTTGTGCGCAGTCTTGTTCTAGTTGAGCCTTGATTGTTGTAGTTAATACTAGAGGGATTTGACCACCAGGCCGACTGGCTGTGTGAATCAGCTGTGTCTGCCGCGGAAAACTTCTGTCCTCTGGGGAGGTGCTAATCTAGCCTTTGCCTGAGGCTATCCGGCAAATGGCTCTGCGCAGGGCTTGGGCGGGGCGGGCTCAACAGGGCGGGCGGAGGGAGCCGTTATGGTGCCCTCAGTCCTGTTCCCAGAGGCTCTGCTTCTCAGAACCCCCGGAACCGCTGCAAACCTCGGAGGGAAAGCTGCCTTCCAACTGATGCCAGACACTCCCGCTTCTCCCGTTTGGGTCCGAGTCCCCAGCGATTCGCCCGTATCTGGAGCTCAGAGTCTGAGACTCCCCCCTGACCGAAAACGACAACCGCGCTCTCAGCCACCAGCCCGCTTTGCGCGCGCACCTCCGCACCTGAGTTTTTTCCACACTGCGCCTCCTCTGAGCCTCGGTGTGCTGTTATTTTTCCTTCTAGTTGAAGAGTCTCTCCTCAGCCAGCCTTCCTGTGGTTCTGGGTGATGTCCGTTCCGTCTTTTAGTTGTATTTTTGAAGTGGTTGTTTGCGGCAGCAGTCTCCGGTGTTTACCTATGCCGCCATCTTGGTGGAGTCCTATTGAACTTTCATATTTCTGATCTTTGAAACACTTCATCCAAGTTCTTTGTCCATTTTTTTCTGGAACAGTCTTTTTAAAAGTAGGAGGGAGGGCCAAGGTGGCGACATAGGTTAAACACGATACTCGCATCCTCCCACAACCACATCAAAATTACAACTAAACCACAGAACAACTATCAACTAGAGAATTAAAGAAGTCACATTGAGACTAGTAGGAGGCGTGGAGGCGCAAAACGGGCTATTCCAACACCCACGCATGGCTTTTTTTAATAGGGTGGGATATCTTGGCCACAGAGGCCTCCCGTGAGGAACAAGGGGTCCCAGCCCCACACCAGATCCCTCAGCCCCGGGTTCCAGTGCCTGGAAAAGAAGTCCCCATAACTTCAAACCAGCAGAGATTGTGGCTTAGTGACAATACTCCCTCTGAGTGACTTACTCCCTCTGCGTTCCAGCGCTGGGGCAGCAGAAAGGATTCAGGGACATATGGGGAGGCACATAATTGTTTGGCATTAGAGCAAGATTGGGGGTCATCTTTCTCCCAGACAAAAGTGCTGGTATAGGTTATTGTTCCATTGCTGAGACCTCCTCACCACAGTGCATATCGGCAGTCACCATTTTTGAGTCTCCATCAACCTGGCCCACAGTTTTCCTCACCCTGTTGACTCCCTAAAGCCCTATCCCACCCAATTTGTAGCCTCACCCAAGCTGTTTGCAGTGGCTTTTCCATGTGAATGGCCTGTCCTGGCTCAGGCTTCAGGCTTTCCTAAAATGTCTCAAACAAACAGCAGCCTGAACTCAGCATGCCCCATACCTCTTGCTAAGTGGCCCCGGGCCCAGCACTAGCAGCAGCCTGCCTTGTTCACAGCTTGGCCTCTCCTGGACACCTCCAACTCCAACATAAGTAGCAGCCATCTGCAGATTGCTCTGTAGCTCAGGCCAGGTGGCCTTAGGCAGGGCACAGGTAGTAGCTGACTTTGCACCTCCCAAGAGGCCCCAGAGCCAGTGCACCCAGTGGACAGCTTCAGACCATGCCAGATTACAACCCTACCATATCCACAAACAACACATTCAAGGGGCAGACTCGATGAGCACCATAGCCCCACTGCTCCATGGGGGCATCTCCTGCACAGCGGCTCTTCCACTGTAGTCGCAGCTGGTTGGAACAGCTGATTGGCCTGGGTGTCAATCCCTCCCAGTGATGCCAACAGCAATCAACACTCGACTACAACAGGACAGTGCACACAGCCCACACAAGGGAGCACCTAGAGTGCCCAGCTCAGGTGACTGGGGAGGCTGAGCCACTGCGCCCTACAGAATACCAACTACACAAGGCCACTCCACCAATACCAGGAGACACAGCAGCTCTACCTAATACATAGAAACAAACACAGTGAAACTGCCAAAATGCAGAGACAAAGAAACATGTCACA